GCCGATCCGGAGACCCGCCTTTACCTCCTGGAGCTGGGAGAGCCGCGTGCTCGTTAGCGGGGACTTCGGCCCAGACCGTGAGCCCCAAACTCTTCCCGCCTCAGGGGTCCAGGCTGGCTGGCAGGGGCCACCGTGACGTGGCGAGGACACCTGACTAAGCTGCTGACCACACCGTATGAGCGGCAGGAGGGCTGGCAGCTGGCGGCCTCGCGGTTCCAAGGGACACTGTACCTAAGTGAGGTGGAGACCCCGGCGGCCCGGGCGCAGAGGCTCGCCAGGCCGCCCCTCCTCCGGGAGCTCATGTACATGGGCTACAAATTTGAGCAGTACATGTGTGCAGGTGAGAGCTGTCCCTGCCGTGCGGCCGCTTTCCCGTTCCTCGGGGGGCGAGAGCCCCTTCCCTCCCCTTGCTGCAGCTGCTTCTCTCCTGTACAGACAAACCCGGAGGCTCCCCAGACCCCTCTGGGGAGGTTAACACCAACGTGGCCTTCTGCTCTGTGCTACGCAGCCGCCTGGGGAACCACCCCCTGCTCTTCTCCGGAGAGGTGGACTGCGTGAACCCCCAGGCCGCGTCCACACAGCCTCCAGCCTGCTATGTGGAACTCAAGACCTCCAAGGAGATGCACAGCCCTGGCCAGTGGAGGAGCTTCTACAGGTTCAGGCCCGGGGTGAACAGGGGAGCCCAGGACGGAAAAGGAGCCTGGGGGAGGGGGAGGGCCCAGCTGACCCTTGGCCTCTCCTGTCAGGCACAAGCTCCTGAAATGGTGGGCCCAGTCGTTCCTCCCAGGGGTCCCACATGTCGTCGCTGGCTTCCGGAACCCAGAGGGTTTCGTCTGTTCCTTAAAGACCTTCCCTACCATGGAGATGTTTGAAAACGTGAGGGTGAGTCGGGGTGTCTAGGCTGCCAGCTGCCAACCCCACCCCCTCCCTGGACCAAGACCTCAGGTCCAGTGCCCCTGTGCCTTCTGTCTCCTTCCCCTCCTCCCACCCCCAAGTCTCCTGCCTCTTGTGTCCCCTCCAGCACGACCGGGATGGCTGGAACCCCTCTGTGTGCATGAACTTCTGTGCTGCCTTCCTTAGCTTCGCCCAGAGCACAGTAGTCCAGGACGACCCCAGGTAAGGACTTGAGGGTTGTGTGTCACCTCTGGGACTCAGCTCAGTGTCTGGCTTCACCCCACACCTCCATCTTCCCCCAGGCTTGTCCACCTCTTCTCCTGGGAACCTGGTGGCCCGGTCACTGTGTCTGTCCATCGGGATGCGCCCTATGCCTTCCTGCCCACATGGTATGTGGAAGCTATGACTCAAGACCTCCCGCCACTCTCAACGACTCCCTCCCCCAAGGACTGATGCTTTGGAGGACACACCATCGGGGTCTCTGCAGATAATAAAAGCGTGTTTCTAAGCAGGTGTCTTGCTGTATCTGAATACAAGTCATCCCTGCCCGTGCTCCAAGCACTCAGTGTCCTCTTTTATTGTTACACACCTTTATCCCACACCCTTTACTGGGTGTAGAGGCTGGCTGCAAAGACAATGTCCCG